AATAATCAGCAACATCCAACTTTATGTAATCAATGACAAAAAAAGAAGCTAATTTCATCAAAATAAAAAAACGATAATACTATTCTAAAGATTAACGCGTAACTGCAAAAGAAGAGTATACACCATAAAAATAAAAATTAAGATTTGAAAAATGCGCTTAGAATTAGATTTGGAAAGATCTAAGATTGGTAGCTATGTCAAATAATAGGTTGCAGTTAGTCGTCAATCAGTCTGATTGATGAATAAGTCTGACACTTATGAAGGCTAATTTAGACCACCGACCTTCGATATTATCCTCGTCATCCGATGATCTGTTTAATTCATCGGCAAATTTATCCATAGCATCTTGAATTTGGGCATCTTTCTTCCTTCTCAAAAATGATAATTCTTGGGTAGCTACTGTGTTAGCTTTGGATTTTCGGGCTGAAGATTGCTCTTGAGGAGGAGGAGGCCTCTTGGGAGGCATTATCTGATCCACTTAGCAAAAAATATTGCGAACTGAATGTATTTGAAATATGAATATACTGCACAATTTGGCGACAAAAATGACTCGTTTTTCTCAAGATACGATTAAAACTGGCATTAGTACGATTACAATTGGCATTATTAGCATTAGTACGGTAGATAACTTGAATAAATACCCTTCTTATTCTATCCTAATGCCATACTTCAAATTGGCTAATATGGCAGAAAATAGCTGCATAGAAATTCCACGCTAGCAAAGAAAACACTGTCGGATTCTGGTCTAGAAAAATGAACAAAAGAAAAAAACTAGCACTTAAATATCCAAGTGACTGAATGAATAAACTCTAAGAACTAGAATAGAGCATTATAATTTTCATTTAACAAATATTCACTACGATTTTGCTATTAGATCAAGAATAAAAATTTTAAACAACAAGAGCAAGATAGCATGTTATCGAAATGATCATCATTGTCGTATTTCGTGCGCTTTCCCGATAATGCAGTAGGTATTATCCTTAGAATCAAAAATCTCGAACGGTCCCATTGAGTAATGTTTTTTGAAACTAACTATCCAATAACTTTCATAAATAACTCTCATAAACCCTCATAAATTCCTCTGCAAATCACAAATAATCTTACTAATACTAACGAAAGCACAAACAGATGCAAAACAACAAAAAATATCTCTTTATTGCCAAATTTATCACCGAAATCTTCCGTATTATGAAATAATCGATATGCAAATCACAACATTATTCATCAGTCCACCCTCTTTCAATTTACATTAAAAAAGAGAAAAATCAATACTTAAAAATAATAACCAGTTGTTGTGTGCGATTAAAAAGATAACATAAACATTAAAAAGATCAATCAATAATGCAATTTTCGGAGTGGAATTCAATGCCTAATTCCGACCAAGCAATCATTTCACTATTCGTAACTGAACAATTTGAAACACTAAAACTGATTAGAACTTTCAAAATTAAGAAAAAAAAAACAGTTGCAATCAATGAAACTGTCTCATCTAGTACATTGAGTTCTGTATGATTTGAATCATCAGATTTTTGCTGATCAAAAAGCAGTAGCGTGGTAGTGAATCAAAGTTACTCAAACACCAGTATGAATTTGTTTTTTCTTCTTTGTAAAAAAGAAAATATGCTTCGTAACATTGCCTAACCATTATCACTTTTTCAATATGATCAGAAAATTAAAAAAAAAAATTCATGCAGTAGGGGACATTCAGTATTTTAAAATCTAAAAATCAATCAATAACCCAAACTATTCTTTTGTCTCTTTTCATATAAATTACGATTGCATATTTTGTTTTTCCTAGTCTTAATTTATTAAATATTGCCAGTTGTAAGTAAGCAACAGTATGTTAAGCCTGCGCGAAATAAAAGAGTCAATTAAAATTCTCCACCATAAAAAAATACAGAAAGAGAGATCATTGATTAGAAGAATGAATGAACAAGAAATTTAGGTGCGTTGTGATGTATACTTGTTTACTTCACATAACTTTAAAATTATAAAACTTTTATATTACATATATATTTTTTATATGTGCACAATGCCTTAAAAATACCAAAAACTCGAAATAATTCACGATAAGCTCGTCATTCCTCTTCTCAGTCTCCCTCATCTCTCATATTTCCTGCACAATACGCATCTACAAAACAAAATGCACTGCAATGGAATCCTTTATATGATAGTGATACGAATGAAATCTTTTCCTTATCATTATGAAAATAATTTCTCATTCCATATATTCTTCACTTTTCATCTCCTCTTCATTCTCCGTATCAATTCTCTTTTTCATTCACGCAAATATCCGTATCCTAAAAACATTCCATCATCATCTAATATAATTAATTTGCAGTGAAACTACTTAGAAATTATCGACTGCGAATATTTCATTGCAGTGCAATAATAATTGACCAGTGTCGTATTGGAATAGGACAAAAAATATTCCCGACAAGGTTCAATTAAACCAGAAAAAAAACAATGAACTGTTGACCAATTAAAACTATCAACAAATGAACTAAACGCAATAGTAATTCAACAGCTGGTACCACTGCTCTTCTCTAAGAGTAAGAATGAGAATCATTATTTAATGCTTAGTGATAGACTTATCGATCGCTGCTTCCTGTCAAACTTCTGGTTAACGCAAAACATTTCCTGTTCGCCACCAAAATTACTCACCGAAGGAGAGGAAGAAGTTGAAAAAAAGCAATAGAACGTGAAGCAGAGGGACAAGAAAAGGAAGAAATAAAGAGATAAATATAACGATACAGCTAGCAAAGAAAACGAGGAATTTATAAAATAAATTTAAAAAATTCAATGAATAACAAAATAACTAATAAGCTTCTGATAATTGGTTATATGTAACATATACTACCATCAATACTAAATAGTTTCTAATATTTTGGTAATAAAATATACAGCAAGTTCTTTCTATTATTCAACGCTCTCTTATATAATATATTCAACAACTTATGTATTTATATCTCACTACATCTTATCCGCCAACAATCAAAAATATAATAA